TAGAGTTAGGAGAGCCTCAGCCACTGCTTCTGGTTGCACAGATTGCAATAGAGTTTGAATTAACCCGAGCTAACTCTAGCCCTATCATTGAAGGATGAGTGAACTGATTAAAGCACCACGGTGCTGAGTGCCATTCAAGTGGGGGAAGAAAAGAGAAACATAGTTATGGGACATAGCACTGTTATGGGAATAGATATTGTTCTCTGCAGCAAAGACAGAATGTCCTGAAGGCTGTGTTGTCTATCTGATGCCAAGATTCAGGACATCTCTTCTAGGCTGGAGAGGAATTTGGAGTAGGAGGAGGATCCAGTTGTCATGGTTTATGTAAGTACTAATAACATAGGTAGATATGTGCCCTGCTTAGGTCATGGAGCAGCTCCGGGCTAAATTATAAAATAAAACTATAAAGGTACCAATGTCAGGATTACGATTTTAGCCATATTCAGATTGCCCTAGATTAAGCTTAGAGGGCTAAAGGTGTGGTTGAAAGATTGATATGGCACACATAGACCCCAACTCATGGGGCATGGTACTTATACCGGGAACAGAAAGAACTGATCCATTCTGATGGGCTCCATTTGGAGGACGCAACTAAAAATTGATAGTGGGGGGCAGGGATATGGCAGATTATTTTGAACCAATATTTTGCATTGGTCCTCAATGGAAGATGCGATAAACATTCCAAACCTGACAGATAAATAACCTGTTTTGGAAGGAAAAGTCTTGAAATAATCTCTATTATGAGGGAAAGAATTTGACAATACAACAAAACTAAAGACAGACAAGTCACCAGCACTAAATGGACTACATCCAAGGGTTATAAAGGAAGTGGTTGCAGAGACAGTGGAGGCATTAGTTGAAATATTCTAGAATTCATTGATTGGAAAACTACTGATGTGATGCCCCTGTTCAAGAAGGGAGGGAGACAAAAAGTAGGAAATTATAGACCAATTAATGTAACATCTGCTGTTGGAAAATGGTGAAGTCCATTATTAAGAAAAAAATAGCAGGACATTTAGTTTAGCTTAACATCAGAGAGTGAATATGGCTCTATGAAAGCGAAATCTTGTTTGACAAATCTACGAGAGATCTTGAGGATAGATGAAGTAGAGATGATAAAGGGGAACTCATAGATGCAGTGTATTTGGATTTCCAGAAGACAGTCGATAAGTTGCCATATGTGACAGTTATTGCATAAGGTAGGAATACATCTTACTGAAGGTGATCTATAACATGATTTGAGGCTTTATTAACACACAGATGAGAGGGTCAGGATTAATAGGCCTTTTTTAGGTTGGCAAGACATAACTGCCACAAGGATTAATCTGAGATTTTCAATTATTTACCATTTATATCAATGACTTGGAGGGGGAAGAGTGTTCAATATTCAAATTTTATGAAGCTACAAAAATATGTGGGAGGGCATATGTTATGATGAAGACAAAAGGAATCTGCAAGAAGATTTAAGATCACTTAAATGTAGAGAGTCTCAGAAAAGTGCAGCATGGAGAAATTTAGGTGGCCTTATGCATGAAACTCAAAAAGTCAGCATGCACGCAGTCCAGGTAATTAAGAAGGCAAATAGAATTTTGAACTTCATTCGTAGGGAGTTGGAGTTTAAAACTAGTGAAGTCTTGATTCAACTATAAAGGGTGTTGGCGAAGCCACACCTTGGAATATTTTGTCCAGCTATGTTCTCTGTATTTATGAAAGGATGTATTCACATTGAAGGTAGTTTAACAAAAATTCTCTAAGCTAATTCCTGAGATGAAGGGATTGACATATTGAGAATGTCTAAATAGGTTCAGCCTTTATTCATTACAGTTTGGAAGAATGAAGAATCTTAGATTCTGAATGTGCTTGATAGGGTAGATGTTGAGAAGATGTTTTCATTAGTGGGGGAGTCTTGAACTAGGGGGCATAGTTACAGGATAAGGGTACACTTATTTAAAACAGAGATGGAAAGGAATTTATTTTCCCAGACGGTAAATGTCTGGAATTCTCGACTGCATAGAGTTATAAAGGCTAGATGACTGAAAGTATCTAAAAAGGAGCGAGATAGATTTTGAATGATTCAGGGCTACGAAAAGCTAGCTCAGAAGAAGGGGTGAGGTTTGGGGCAGATCAGCCATTGTCTTATAGAATGATGGAGCAGGCTCTAAGGGGCTGAATGGCCTATACCTACTCCTATTTCATATGTTCTTATGTGTCAAACCTCTTGAGTTGTTATAGCCACAATAATCCAAGCAGTGGAGAATATTACAGCATACACCTAATTGTGCCTAATGAATGATGAACATGCCTTGTAGAGTTAGAAAATGTGTTAGTATCTGCAGAATTTCCAATATCTGTCCGACTGTTGAAGCTATACCATTTCTATGGCAGATCCAGTTCAATTTCTGTCCAATAGTAACCCCAGGTATGTTCATAGTAAGGGATTCAGCAACGGTCATGCCAAGAGGAGATAGTTTGATTTGTCCTTGTTGGATATAGTTATTGGTTAGCACTTGTCTGGTGCAAATGTTACTTGTTGCTCAGCCTAGATTTTAGATTGTTATGTAAGAAAACCCAGACTGCTTCAGTAACTGAGGAGTTGCAAATCATACTAAAAACTAAGCAATCATTACTGTACTTTCCCATTTTTGGTGCTATTATGGAGGGAAGGTCATTGAGGAAGCAGCTGAAGATGGTTGAACCTAGGACATTACACTGAATTTCTCCTTTAATGAAGCCCTTGGGCTGAGATTATTGTCCTCCAACAAACACAATATTTTTCCTTTGTGCTATTATTGACTGTAACCACTGGAAATCTTCCTCTTTGATTTCTATTGACTTCAATTTTTGCTCGGACTTCTTTATGCCGTACCCATAATACTTCTGTGTGCCTTCATTCACACTTCACATCTTCGAGACCAATTCTTTTGATATGTTTGTACTTAGGCTGTAATAAGGTCATGAGTTAAGTGGGTCTAGCAGAACCACCATTATGTGACAATCATTGTTGTGTAAGTAAGGGAATACATGCAGAATCTAAAAGTTGTATTAAATTTCTAGCAAGATTTCTATAGAAGTAAGCTGGTGTTGGTGTTAGCAATTCATCTCCTTACTAGTCAATATTTATGTTTAAAGTGAAATGCACAATATCTAACTGAATATACAGGAATTTTTTAAATAGAACATTGAATATTGACAACAAATGCAGAAAATGCTGGAGAAGCTTGGCAAGTCTGACATTGACTGTGGAGAGAGAAACAGAGTTAACATTCTGAGCCCAGTATCAACTCGAAATGTTAATTCTGTTTGTCTCTCTACAGATGCTCCCAGACTTGCCGAATTTCTACAGCATTCTTTGTGTTTGTTTCAGAAATCCAGCATCTGCAGTATTTTGCCTCAATACTGATAACATTTAAAGTCACAGTCAGAGTTGTACACCATGGAAACAGATCCTTCAGTCCAAATTGTCCATGCTAACCAGATATCCTAAATTAATTTAGTTCCATTGGCCACCATTTGGCCCACATTCCTCTAAATCTTTCCTATTCGTGTACCCATCCAGATGCTTTTTAACTGTTGTAATTTTACCACTTTCCACCACTCCCCCTAGCAGCTCATTCCATTCACGTACCATCCTATGTGTGAATAAGTTGCCCATTAGATCCCTTGTATATATTTCCCCTCTCATATTAAACCTATGCCTTCCAGTTTTGGACTCCCCTACCCTTCGAAAAAGACCTTAGCTATTGACCCAATCCATGCCCCTCATGATTTTTTAAACTTATATAAGGTCACCCCGCAGCCTCCAATGCCCCAGGGAAAATAGCCACAGCCTATTCAGCCTCTCCCTGTAGTGCAAATCTTCCAACGCTGGAGACATCTTTGTAAATGTTTTCTGCACCCTTTCAAGCTTAACAACATCTTTTCTTTGGTGGGGAGACCTGAATTGAACACAGAATTCCAAAAGTGGCCAAACCAATGTCCTGTAAAGCTGCAACGTGACTTCTCAACTCCTATACACAACACACTGACCAATAAAGGCAAGCGTACCAAACACCTTCTTCAATACCCTGTCAACCTGTGATTACACCTTCAAGAAACTATGAACCTGCACCCCAAGTTCTCTTTGTTTGGCAACAGTCTCTAAGAACCTACCACTAAGTCTAAAATTCCTACCCTGATTTGCCTTACCAAAATGCACCATCTTACATTTGTCTAAATTAAACTCCATCTGCCACTCCTCAGCACAATGGCCCATTTGAACAAGATTTTTTTGTACTCTTCATTGTACATTACACCGCTGTTATTGTTTCATTTTGGACACGGTCCACAGCATTAACTTCTGTGTTAGATGCTGTCTGGCTGTGGGCCCCTCACTGAGTGCGAAACAATGCAATGGGCTTATGCAGATATCCTGCTAGTGAAGGTAATATCGGTGTATTACTAGGGTTGTGCTCTTGTCCTCTTGTCTTCTTTCACCCAGCCCCTTGCCACACCATGTCCCCATGCCTCACTCTTCCACTAAACTGCGGGCATGGTGGCTCAGTGGTTAGCACTGCTGCCTCACAGCACCAAGGTGTGCTTCCAATCTGTCTGTGTGGAGTTTGCACATTCTCCCTGTGTCTATTTGGGTTTCTTCTGGGTGCTCTGGTTTCTTCCCACAGTCCAAAAATTTGTGGATTAGGTGGATTGGCCAGGCTAAATTGCCCATTGTTTCCAGGGATGTGTAGGTTAGATAGATTAGCCATGGGAAGTGCAGGGTCACTGAAATAGGTTAGGTGGAGGGGTGTTGGGGGGAGCGTTAGTTCTTGGTGGGAGGCTCTTTGGAAGGTCGGTGCAGACTCAATGGGCTGAATGGTCTATTTCCACGCTGTAGGGATTCTATGATTCTAAACAAAGTAGGAGCATCATGAAGACAGGCATGAACACATTCAGTTTTGTGGGAACTACTCTGAATTACAACTTACTTTATGCGACTAAGCCATTTTATTTTCTTCACCTTTTAGACTGATTGCAGCTTATCAGCCATGGATCAACATACTGACAATTCCCCAGCTCACAGGTTGGAATCTGCTGCTTCCATTTTAGGCTGCAGCATCACTGATGAGAAGCTTGCAATTCATTTGGATCAAGAAGATCAATTGCGACATATTAGAGACCAATTCCATATACCCAAAATGAAAGACCTCCCGTTTGGTAAGTTCTAATGTTCGAATAGTTCAATTGTGCTGATACTTCATATTGATTTAAGTATCTTAAAACTTTAGAGTTATTAAAACTTTAGAGTTTTAAGACCATATGTTGCAAGAGTAGAAGTGACCATTTGGCCCGAGGAGTCTGATCTGATAACCAGATTGGGACATGAGGAAAACCTTTTATACGCAGGAAATGGTTAAGATCTAAATGCACTGGCTCAATGCAGTGGAGGTACATTTAGACATGACCTTCAAAATGGTATTGACTAATTATCAAAGTGAAAATATTTTCAGGGCTGCGATGAAAAGGCAGGTGAATGCGATGAGCTGTGATGCTCTTGCAGACCTGATGGGCTGGATGGCCTCCTTCTGTCCGTCCTATGATTCAAAGCTATTCTCTATCACATTCATGTCTGCTTTTCTGCCTCTTCCCTGTAACCCTTACTTTACTTACTGATTATCTCCATGTAGAATGTTCTTAATGATCCAGCCTTGACAATGACATGGTAGTTCAGTGGCTATCACTGCTGCCTCACAGCACCAGGGACCAGGGTTTGAACCCAGCCTTGGGTGATTCTCTGGGTGGCATTTGCACATTCTGTGTGTATGCGTGGGCTTCCTCAAGGTGATCTGGTTTCCTCCCACAGTCCAAAAATGTGCAGTTTAGGTGGAGTGGCCATGGGGAATGCAGGGTTACAGGGATAGGGTAAGGGACATGAGCCTGGGTGGGATGTTCTACAGAGGATGGATGTGGACTCGATGGGCCGAATGGCTTGCTTCCACACTGTAGGGACTCTAGCTCTCAACTGTAAAGCATTCCACAGATTCACAAGTATCTGAAATAGTAAACTCATCATTTTGATTTTTAATGGGCAACATTGCGATGATGCTGTTTGGTCCTAGAAATTCTCACGGGGAAACATGCTCTCCACATCTAACCTGTCACGGCCATTGAATCTATATGTTTCAATATGGTCATCCATCATTCTTCTAAACGCATGAATATTGGCTTGACATTTTCAACCTCGTTCGTACACTTATGTTTAAACTAGTGAACCTTCTCTGGACTGTCTCATATGCCATTACATCTTTTAATAGAAAAAGCGATCAAAACAGTTCACTGTATTCTAAGTGTGGTCTGACCAGTGCTGTTTATAGTTTTAGCAAGAGCTTCGTAATTTTATACTCCATTCCCAATGAAATAATACCTAATAATACTTTTGCCTCTTGATTTATTATTTTTGGAATGTTATTAATGTTCTTTTCCATGAAGATTGATGCAAAGTATTTAGTTATCACCTCTGATATTTCCTGGTTCCACTGGGAGGACTGTAGATTAATTCCACCAGGATCTTCTTCTATTTGATTTTTCATTACTCCACCATATGGATTCTACATCTTCTGATCCAAGATCATAACATGCTGTTGCATTTATTCCATCCCATACTAACAAAGTTACCTCATTAATCATTCCTTCCTGCCTGCCCTTTTGAAAGTCACATACTCCTGAGTATTTAGTTACCAGCTTTGATCTCCTTGTAACCATGTCTCTGTAATGGCTTTAGGGTATTACACCACTAACCAATATCTGTGCCATTAATCCATTTATTTTGTTCCAAATGCCCTGCATTTTGTTGTTTTGCCATTTTTCCCCCTTTGACCCCATGTACTTCCTTTAATGTTTGTACACTCTGACCCTTCCAGTCACATTTTGGGTATCATTACCTAGATGCCTGTTTGCAATGTTACCATAGCCTTTTGTTTTTTAAGTCTACATAACCTGTCTCCAATTTGTTCAAAGCCCTCGTTCTTCAGGTCATCAGGATACTGGTTCCGAGATAGTTGGAGTGAAGCCCATCCCTTGGGAACAGATTGAAGGGTCTCGGCCCAAAACATCAGCCTTCCTGCTCCTCTGATGCTGCTTGGCCTGCTGTGTTCATCCAGCTCTACACCTTGTTATCCCTTCTACCCTAGTATTTGTATGAGTGATCCATGAATAGAAATCTACTAACCCCACATCAATCTTTGAACCACACATTTAACTCCTTGGGTTAACTTTTACATTTTCTTGGCTAAGAGTCAATTTTGGCGATTTCATGAAGGGCTTCTCTCTGCCAGATCTGACTCATTTATTACCAAATCTGCCTCATTAATTACCTACCCTTCTCCTACGGCTCCCCTTGAGTCCAATTGTAGTCCTGTTCTATCACTTGTTGTACCCAGAACCATTTGCGACCACTGGGATATCCCAGAATGGATTGGTATTTGTGGTGCTGGTGCCATCTTTAATAGGTCATTGTGTACCTCGACACATAATATTAGTTGGGATAACAAGGTGTGGAGCTGGATGTACACAGCAGGCCAGGCAGCATCAGAGGACCAGGAAAGCTGACGTTTCTCCTTCAACTCCTCCCACTTCCTACAGGTGGCCATGGGTACCTGCATGGGCCCAAGCTATGCCTGCCTCTTTGTAGGATACGTGGAACAGTCCCTCTTCCACAGCTACACTGGCCCCATCACCCACCTCTTCCTCCATTACATTGATGACTGTAACGGCGCCGCCTCGTGCACCCACAAGGAGCTCGAACAGTTCATCCACTTCGCTAACACCTTCCACCCCAACCTTAAGTTCACCTAGCTGCTCCTCTGATGCTGCCTGGCCAGCTGTGTTCATCCAGCTCCACACCTTGTTATCTCAGACTCCAGCATCGGCAGTTCCTACTATCTCTATTAGTTGGGAGTTGTCCTACATGGTTCCTGACATTCACCCTCGATATGACTGAAAAGAGAAAGTCAGCGCCCCGCTGTGTGGTCAGCGACATGGAGAACCTGTTGAATGGGATGATACAAAGGCAGGAAATACTCTTTCCCACTCCTGCAGTGGACACTATGGCACCAGACATGCCAGCCTGGTCCCAGGTTGCCACCTTAGTCAGTACAGTTTCAGCAGTGTGGAGGAATCCACTCTACCCCACTATTGCTTGGAACATCTTCTCTCACTTGCTCTCACTTACCCCATCTCCTACCTGTATTAACTCTGGATGCCTGCTCTACTGCATAAGCACTTGTCCAGAACACCACTCTCCTGCACCAAAACTAACAGCTGTGCCACTTTCATCCCCATTAATACCTGCCTTCCTGTCATTTTAGGAGGAAAAATAATAGGGTGGAAAGAATCAAGGTGTGTGTGGGAGGGTTCTGGAAGACGTTTGGCTCTTCACCCCTCATGCAACTCTGACTGCCAGGGGATTTTTTTTCATTTTGGTGACCCGTGACTAGTGGGGTTACACATGGGTCAGTGTTGGAACTGCAACTGTTTACAATGTCCAGGAAGGAAGGATGCGAATGTACTGTAGCCATGTTTTCAGACAACATAAAAAGAAGTGGAAAGGCAATTTACAAGGATACAGTTTACAAGAGATACTGATAGGTTAAGTAAATGGGCACAAAGATGACAAATGGAGTATAATGTGGGAAAACTTGAAGTTGTTCATTTTGGAAAGAAAAGCATGATAATATTGTTTAATGAGGAAAACTGCAGAAAGCTACAACATAAAGGCACTTGGGGTACTTGTGCACAAAACGCAGAAAGATAGCACACAATTTCAACATGTCATCAGGAAGGCTAATGAAATGTTCATACTTATTTCAAGGAGTTTGGAGTATTAGAGGAGGGAAGTTTTACAAGGTGCTGGTGAGACCACAACTCGAGTACTGTGAGCAGTTTTGGTTTCCTTATTTCAGAAAAGATATTATTTTACTGAAGACAGTACAGGGAATGTACACTAGCATAAACCCCATTATGGAGGGATTGTCTTATGAGCGAAGGTTAAACAGGTAGGGACTTTACTTATTGGAACTTAAAAAATGAGAGATGATCTGATTGAAACATATAGGATTATTAAGGGGCTTAACAGGGTAAATTCTGAGGGAATATTCCCTCATGGGAAAGTCTAGAATTAGAGGGCATAGCCTCAGAATTAAAGGATCTAATTGAACACTGAAATGAGAAGGAATTTCTTCTCTCAGATGGCTGTGAGTCTTAGGAATTCCTTGCCACAGAGTTGTAGGGCAGAGGCCTTGTGTACATTTAAGGCTGAGACAGATAGATTTTTGATCAATAGGGGAATCAAGGGTGATGGGGAAAGAGCAAGAAAGTGGACATGAGGAATGTTGGATCAGTCATGATCCTAATGTTTGGTGGAGGAGGCTCGAGGGGCCAAAAGACCTACTCCTGTTCCTCTTTCTTATGGTCTTGTAGCATTCTAAAAGTGAACTGAGATGTATCATGTGTTCAGAGATGCCCCTGTTGTGTGACCTGAGATTTTGTTGCCTGGTGTCCAACATGAAGATCATCCAAACGGACCCCACCTACAAGTTTGCTGAAAATGACAGCATAGTGGGATGGATATCTAACAATAGCGAGTCAAAATACAGCAGGGAGATAAAGGGCTTGGTGACATGGCGCAATGAAAAAAATCTGTCACTCAACATCGGCAAAATTAAAGAACTGATCATCGACTTCAGAAAGAAAGGAGGAGACTGCCCCACACCGTGCCCCTCCACCCCGCTTTTACATCGATGGAACTGAGGTTGAGAGGGTGAAGGGCATAAAGTTCCTCAGTGACAATAACCAACAACCTGTTGTGGACTTCCCACATAGATGCTACCGTCAAGGAGGCACAACAACGCCTTTTCTTCCTCAGGTAGCTCAGGGAATTTGGAATGTCCATAAGGTCCCTCACTAACATCAACAGATGCACCATTGAAAATATACTATCCAGGTACATAACAGCCTGGTATAGCAACTGCTTTGGCCAGGACTGTAAGAAACTAGAGAAGGCAGTGTGCACAGCCCAGACCATCACGGAAGCCAACCTTCCATCCATGGTCCCCATTTAGCTTGCTGCTGCGGAAAGGCTGCCAACATCATCAAAGACCCTTCGCACCTCGGAAATGATCTCCTACAATTTCATCAGGAAGAAAATACAGAAGCTTGAA